AGAATCATAAATCTGCTGAGTAAATAAAAGACCAATTTAATGAAAATACATGTTTACAGAGCAGATTTACTTTATTTAAAACAGATGGTCCAGGTCACATTTGGAGACCACCTGGTACAAGATATAATATAGAAAATATTAGTCCTACTGTAAAACATGGTGGTGGTGGTATAACGGTATGGGGGTGTTTTTCAGGAAAAGGACTGGGTCCACTAATAAAAGTAGAGGGCAAAATGAATAGTCAAGACTACATCCAGATATTAGAATCGCAGTTACTCCCTCTACTTTATAAAGATTTTAATAATAGGGGATATTTGTTTCAAGATGACAATGCTCCAGTTCATACAGCCAAAATTGTCAAAAATTGGATTGAAACAAATAAAGTAAAAATTCTGAAAAATTGGCCAAGTCAATCTCCTGATTTGAATCCAATAGAGCATCTGTGGAATCAGTTAGAAATTCGTATTTGCAAACATCCAAATAAATTTAAAAATAATGCTGAACTCAAGACTGCTTTACTTGAAGAATGGAATCAAATTCCTAGAAATATTTATATGAATTTGATAGAGTATGCCGAGGAGAATAGAAGCTGTTATATATATCCAGTAATGGGTGGCCAACAAAGTATTGACTTACATACAAATGAGTAAAATTTCAGGTGTGGTTATTATGTATGTTTTTGAGCAGTGTTTTTTTAAGAATACTTGTAAATAAAAATCAAATTTGGAGATCATTTTCAAAAAAATAATTTTGGTCGAACTTTTTAACTGTTATTCTCCTAGACGTCACAAAAATTTGAAATTTCGCATGCATGTTCTTGAGAACTTTGTTATGATTTGGTAAAAATTATTTTTATTTTTATTATGTGCGTTTTTGTGCAATTGATTGTTTTATGGTGACCAAAACTTTTGTCCAGGGAGTGTACCACTAATATAAAAAATTTTTTTGTCAAAAGATTGTTGAATTTATTTATTTAAAATATATATCCTCTTCATGTATAAAATTAATTTTACATTACGACCAATCTTTAATGTTAAAGTATGCACATGAAGTGTATGTTTGTAGTAGTGAGCCACCTATTGTTTATTGTCCGGTAAGATACTTTATATATAATTTCTATTTTATTTTATTTTTTTTGAGGATTCTGCCATCTTTAACATAAAAAAAATTTTTAACTTTTAATAACATGTGTATATATTATATTATTTATATTACTCTTTACTGTTCATTATTCACTCACTACTGATTATTATAATTGTTTTGATTTCATTATCACTTGTAGAATTTTAATTGCAAACAACTACAGGATGTAAAATGTCATTACCGTATTCTCCCGAATATAAGCAACTCCATTTTAACACATTTTAGTCAACAAAACTGCAGGTGTTGCTTATATTTGGGAGATTTTGTTCGTGTTACATTATGTTTCCTTATTTCATCATTTGTGTTAAGTTTTATTCATTTTTTTCCCACGCAATGCCAAAAGTCAAACGTTCTTCATATTCTGTTGCTGAAAAGCTCCAAGTTTTGCAATATGCAAAACAATATGGTTTAAGATCAGCTGGGCGTCATTTTACTATTGA